CACACACATACAGATGCACACAATCATGGAAATGTTTGTGTCTGCACACTTGAAAGCGCCCACAAACATCCCCACATCCACACCCATGCTCTCCATACAAACAGGTGAGGCTCTGCTCCCAGCAGACGGGGGCCCCAGAGGCGACCAGATTGGCAGGTGGGGCAGGTGGGAGGGTGTGGCAGGGGGCAGGCATGGTCCCTGGAGGGCACAGGCCCTGCTGGGCTGGGGACAAGGGTGGGGGAGGAGCCCTCCCCCAACACTTTCCGTCACGGCTCCCCGCGCACCTCAGTGCACCTCGCTACAAATACACTCATTAGCTGCTGTTTACAGCGGGCACGGCACTCAGATGAGCGCAGCTCTTCGGGCTGGCCAGCTGCCGCCCGCACACGCACGCACGCACGCACGTAGGTACACACAGACACAGTGCTGCTCTCCACCAGCCCCGCCCTCCCTCCCACCCGCTCCATACCCCACGCGCTCCTCACATGGATGTATCAATTCCCCAAATGTCCCAGCTCACAATACAAGTCAGCTCCCCGCCCAACCCGCACCAGCAACACACCCTTCCCAAGGCGCCCTCCTGGGCGGGAGGTGCAGACTCCTCTGCAGCAGGCCAGGTCTGCCCGGCCCCTCTTCCCACCAACTAGATCTAGAATTCCAGGCGCAGGCTCTGGGCGGATCCAGCACCATCCACAGGTCCCACGCCGAGTCTGCTCTAACCCTCAGGGAATTCTGCCGGGCAAGACGAAAGCCTTGCCCTCCTGAGTACAAGTTGGCCAGGGCCCAGCTGGGCTGCTCCTGCTGCCTGCAAGGTCAGGGACCTCCATGCCCATGGAACTAGCACAGTTCGCTTGGCACCACTGGCTGGGGTTCCCTGGCAAAGCAGGAGGGCACCCAGGCAAGGCCTTGGCACAGGCTGACTCCGGCACCTGGCCAGACCAGTGACCGCCCCAACAGAGAAAGCTAACCTCACGGGTCACATGTACCACCTGCTGGGCACTACCCACGGAGTGGAGGACTGGCTCCATGAAGGGCTTCCTGTGCCCACCTGGGATGCCCCAATGCCCCGAGGAGGCCATGGAACTGACCCCCCCACCAAGGTCCTCTGCCCAGAGCAGCGCTTTCCACCCCCCCCCCGGCACCCCCCTCACCAGCTCCTCTCCCTGCTGTTCTCAGCGTCAGTCCCCTGGGGAAAACGGTTATTGAAAACGGTCCATCAGATTCAATAAGGATTCAAAGTCCCTGGGAGAATAGGGGGTGGGCGGGGAGGGAGGCTGGGGGAGGAGGAGGGCCCCCCCCACAGAACACGCTGCATCAGCAGGGCTGGAGGGGTGAGGAGGGGACAGTCCTTGATGGCGAGCTACGTTGCCCTCTGTGTCCCTGAGGCCTGAGCTTCGGCTCAGCCAGGAGCAGGACCCAGCTGCCTAGGGCCAGCCTGCTCACTGGATACCCACCTGTTCCCCTGCCTTCCAGCTGTCCTCTCACCTGTCACCTGCTGGCCTGTGTGCCCCCCCCAACCCAGTCCAGCCTGCTCCAACAAGGAGGGTTTAGGGGCTACTTCCCCCACCCACCCACCCACACACACCCTCCCCCAGTCCTTAAGCATCCAGCCAGTTGCTAAGGCTGTCCTGGCAAAATGCGGAATAGCACAAGGCAGTGCCAAGGAGGGGTCTGTCTCCACAGTGGCTGCAGCCTAAGGGCCTGGCCCGAGCCCCTCTCCTGCCCTGGGTCACACACCTGCTGAGCCTTTCCCTGCCATACCTACCAGGAGATCATTTGACCTTCACTCTCAGGCTCTGACCCCAGAGCCCAGGACACAGGCCAGGGAGGCCCAGGCCTGTGCAGATGGGCCAGGCTGGGGAAGAAATGCTGTCAGTGAAGTGGTCAGACAGGGGCAGGCCTCCCTGGGCTTGCCCACACCCCAGTCCTGGGCCCTAGCACCTCTAATCCGACCTTTGAGCCCTACTTGGAACTCTTGCTTCACACACCACCCAGCAGTCTCTGCCCTTAACTTGCGTCTTTAATCGAGGGCTGGGTGGACAACCTCCTGGACTCCTCTGCCTCAAGGGAGAACAGCCACTATGCCAGAGCCCCCAGCCCCATGGAGTATGTTCGTCTGTCCCCACCAACCTCACGGGCCGCAGGAACCACCTGCGTGGCAGTGTCTGTAGGGCAGAGTCCACAAACAGGTGGGACGGGGGGAGCCCTCATGCCCTGAGACACCCAGGGTCAAGTTCACAGAAGTCTAGGGTGCAGGGCAAGCAGCCCTCCGGACCTGACCTCTCTCCCAGCTCTTCCCTCTCTGGTCCCGCTCACTAGCTCACTGCAAGGTCACCTGTCCCTTCCTCCTCCTTCCTGCTGCTGTCCTGACTGCCCACTGCAACGCTGACCCCTGCAGGCCTGCTGAGGTCCTGCCGGGCCTGGGGATGGGCAGTCGGAGGGATATGGAGGCTGGCGCCAGGCCAGCTTCAGAATGAGAGCAGGGACAGCTCCAGAAGACTGGCCAGGTGGAGCAGGAGCCCATGGGTGTGCATGGGAGGCGGCTGCTCTGCAGTCTTCACTGGGCTCTGATCTTTTCCCACAGTCCCTTTCTCCATCCATCATAGATGGGGAGCAAAGTGCCAGAGAGTCAGGGCCCCAGGTGGGGAGGGTAAGGTCTTCGCAGAGGGCTGAGCCCTGCGGGGACCTGCAGAGAGAGTGGGATGAAGGGAGGGAGTACACAGGGACACCCTAGGGGGAACCAGCCTGGGCCACAGGAGGCACAGGAGAGGGTGGACTTTGTTATACACACGGGGCCACAGGTGTTTCCTGGGAGTAAGATGAGGCAATCAAGTACCGGCCCCTAGGGGACCAGAGGAGAGATGAGAGACCCACTTGAGTCATTCCTACCAGGTGCTAGCCAAAGGGGAGACGGTGGCCAGAAAAGGGGTACACAGAGGCTTGGCTGTGGGATAAGAGTCTGGGGTCTTTGGGTAAGCAAGAGGGGAAGGGAAGGCTGATCTGAAGCTGCAGGGATTACAAGAGATTGGCTGGGACCCCTCAGGTCCCCAGAGGACTGGAGTCAAGGCAGCATCTGCCCTCGCCAGCCTTTTCCCACCCCCCCAGCTCAGTGAGAACTGAGCCCCTTGGGCCTGCCCCCTTCCCAGTCACAACTGCCCCCAACACAGGCACAGGTGGGCCCTGCAGCTGGGGTGGTCCCCAGTCACAGAGGCCCATCAAGGAAGGAGGAGGGAAGGGTCTGGGGGTTGCCAGCCCACCAGGGGCAGCACTGGCCCTTTGCCCAGAAGATGCCAAGCATCAAGTTGGCCTCTGTGGGCAGGGCAGAGGTTCTCGGAGGAGTGGTGGTGTTATGGTGCCCAGGCGTGGGAGGGACCAGGAGGGAGGGAGAGGGGTTGGAGGAACAGCCCCAGGCCAGTGGCCTGACATGGAAGGGGGGAAGGCAGCCAGCCTGGCAGACTGCGCTCCCACCGCCTGCTTCATCCTCATACTTACCCCCTCCCAGCCAGCTGTTCTCTGAACCAAGCTCTTGGCTTCTGACAAGAGAATGCCCCTGCCCTTCCAAGTGCTGGCAGCCGGCAGCCTCTGGGGGAGACGCCGGGTGGGCGACCCGGGTCCAGACAGAGGAGGGGAAGGCTCTCCAAAGGCAAGGTCCCTCCGGCCCTCACCTAGAGGACATCCACAGAGGGGTGTGGGAGAACAGAGAAGGACACTGCCTCTCTCGCTCTCATCCCTTCGTCCTGAGAGGAGGGCGATGCCCGGCGTCCGGCAGGGCGTCCTCGGTCAAGGAGGGCTGGGACGAGAGCCCATTCTTCAGGAAGCAGAGATGGGCTGGGGCTGCCCCTAGAGGGGACGAGCAAACAAGGGCTGGGGCGCCCTCCCCAGCCTCAGAGCTGTAGGCCTCTTGCTGCCCAGGGTCCCAGCGCTGTTCCAGGACCAGGAGGGTGGCATCCAGGCATCCAGGGGCTCCTCGTCTGGGAGCACGTCCCTGGGCTTGGGTGCTGTGCTTCACAGATCAGGGAGAAACCCAGAAACCGAGACGCTGATGCCCGCACGGCAGACGAAGGGGGTGGGGGGGTGTGGGTGCTGGGTCTCGGGCGGAGCACCCAGGTGGGAGCGGGGACTGAACCTGGACCGCAGCTGCAGGGGACCTGCCTACAGGTGGGCAGTGTGTGAGGAGGCAGCAGCCAAGGAGGAAATGGCAGAGCGGTTTCCGTAGGAAAGAGAGGTTGCTGGGCTCAGGCTGGGAGGACGGCAAGCCGGCGGTGGGCTCCCAGGCCACTCCCCAGGCGCAGGAGCAACGCAGTGGGGCCGCCCCGGCCGCTCCCTCCGCGGCAGGACCAGAGTGAGTTTGGGGTTCTTCGCGGGCCCCTCCCCAAGCCTAGGAGAATATTCTCTGGCACCCCCACGCTCCCGAAACCCTGCTCTCTCCCTCAGGTACCCCGGCCTCCCGGCTCGGTGCTCCTGCGGTCCCCAACCCGGAGCCTCCCTGCCCGGTTTCTGCACCAGATTCCCACCTGCCCCCAGCACCCTCTCTATTCGCCGTTGGCACCGCCGATGCCACTCCGCTCCCCTGTGCCAGCCATGGTGCCCCGAAGCCGCTGGGATCCTCGCCCGGGGGTCCCCCGGCGCCGGCACCCCCGGGGCTCCGGTGCAGGGGAGCCTGGGACGCCTCCGAGGGCACTGCCCGGCTCCCGCGGGGGCAGCGGCGGCTCGCTCCGCCACACACGTTGTCCTTGGGCTGCCGGGTGGGGGGGAGGTCCTTGCGGGGACACTGCGAAGCCGGCTCGGGCTTTGAGCCCGGCAGCGTCCGGGCTGCGGGGAGCCGGGGTCCGAGCCGCGGCCGCTCGCACTCGCGCCCCCGGGGCTGCGATGAGCCCGGGGGGCCGTCCGTGCGGCTCCGGCGGGCAGCAACCCCGGGCTGGGGCTCCGAGACGGCGTCCGCGCTGCCGCCGTCCTGGCCCCGGTGCGGGGCGCCCCAGCCCGAGCGGGGCCGCGCTTACCTGGGCTGGCCGCCTCCGGGTCCCGGTACATGGTCCCCTCGTTGCCGGCTCCCTCCGGGCTCCTCAGAGCCTCCCGCGGCCGCGCGCTGCTCCGCCGCCGCTGCAGGGCATGGGGCCGGGCGACCCCCGGGGGCGGGTCCGAGGGCGGGGGCCGCGCGGGCTGCACCGAGCCGCCGAGCTGGGGAGCGGGGGCCGCCCGCCAGCCCTCCCGCCCGCCCGCGGAGCACGCCGCCGCCGCCGCCGCCGAGCCACCGAGCCGCCTCCCTCTGGCCTGCGCGCCGCGTGTGCGCGCCGGAGCGTGTGTGAGTGTGTACGAGGCCGTGTGTATGTGTGTGTGTGAGCGCGTGTGCGAGCGCGCCCGGGGCACCGCCGGCGCCGCCCGCCGCCGCCGCCTGCACCCGCTGCCGCCCGCTGCCGGCCGCGCGCCGCACTGCAGGCCGCGCCGCGGCTGCCGCCCCGAGCCGCCCCGAGGGCACGGCCGCCGCCCCGCGCCCCGCCCGGCCGCAGCCCCCTCCCCGAGGGCGGCGGAGCGCCGCGGCTGGGCTCCGGGAGCCTGCGGGTCCCTCCGCACCGCGCGACCAGCCCAGCCCGGGTGCCCCTGATGGCAGCGGCCTTGCACCGGCAGGGCCGCGCAGCCGGCCACCTCCTCCGAGGTGCCCTCTGGCTCCGTTCCAAAAGGCGTGGAGATCCACTCCGCGTTTTCCGCTAGGTGGCGGCTCTAGGGCGTCAGCTCCCCGACTCGAGACCGCGGCGGTCCCTGGAAGACGGGCTGGAGTGTGCGAAAACCAGGACTGGATTTTTGTGCCAGCGCCGAGCCAGGGTCCACCCCTCTGGTCTTTGCTGGGGCTCGCACACAGCCGGCGCGCCGAGGTGGGGACGGCGTCTAGTTGCCCTCCCCAACTTCATCCAGCTCCACAAAAGAGGAAAACAGACTTCCAGCCTCTGCTGCTCTTTCTCGGATCCTCCCCTCTTTTCCCTGACCCCAGGGCCACTATGGACAGGAAGGGAGCCTGTCCTTCCCCTTCCAAAACTAGGGCTTTTGGCCCTCTCTGCTCCTATTCCTACAGAATTGAAACTGTTTGATCCCGATGCAGAGAGAAAGGTCCTTCGTCTCCCGTGACTTCAAGTCCCTGGAATTCCAACTGAACCCTTGGTGGTATCAGGTACCGCGAGTACGCACACACCCACACTTGGTCACCTGCACACATGGACACACACACACACATGTCTCCACATAAGGAGGCTCTGCTTGCCCCTACCTGCACCAAACAGGGCAGGCAGGAGGGCTGACCCCCTGGTCTGTGCCCGCCTGCTGCCCCGCCCTCCAGGGGGATGCAGTGCACAGGGGAGCCAGGCTTCCCAGGCCAAGAATCCTGGCTCCCACGGCAACAAATCCATCCAAGGTGGAGGTGCCAGTCACACCTCCACCTTCCCAGAGTGGTCCAGGCAGCCAGCACACACGGGGACAAACCCCATCTCTCTCTCTCTCTCACACACACACACACACACACTTATTTGCCTCCACCCACAGCTTTTCCGCCTGAGGAGAGATAAGGAAATTTCCCCAGCAAGCCTTCATGAAGACCAGATTTCCTGGGATTACATGTTCTAATTAAAAATGGAAGGAGAAAAAGGCATCTGTAGGTTAAGACCCACAGCTCCTCAGTGGCCAGACGTCGCAGCCCTCACCCTCTGGTTGAGGGGCTTTCTGTTCCACCTGCAGCCACCCTCACCCGGCACAGCGCCCTCTGGGAGGCGGCAGCCCCCAGAGAACCAAGTCTATAACCTGGGCCTCCGGTCTCCAGCCTTGGTTTGTTCCCTCCCCCTCCCCTGCTCAGATATTGCACCCTTCTCGCCCCTCCCCCTCCCCCAAATGATCAGCGCCCTCCCAGAGAGGTTCCTTGTTCAGGGGTCTCCCCACCCCAGATCCCTCCCCCATCAACCCGAGAGCCCCGAGAAGGATGGCAGAGTTTTCCAGAGTTGTTGGCGAGACCATCTGAGAGACGAGCCAGGCCACCCTCCTCAGGCAAAGCTCTACAGGAGAAGGGACTGACCCAGGGAGCGAAAGGCCCCAGAGCGAACGGCCCAGGAAGCCGGGGAGAGAACCAGGGCCGCCCTTGGTCCCCACGGCCCGTCTCTGCTGACTGAGGAGACGGCCAGCGCTCTGCTCGCTCTGTCCCTGACAAACAGAGGAGTTCCACGGCTGCACCAGATAGAGCTGTGTGGACTGAGGCTCAGGGGCATTGAGGGTCTCGGCTATTTTTTTTTTTTATTTTATTTTTTGACAGGCAGAGTGGACAGTGAGAGAGAGAGACAGAGAGAAAGGTCTTCCTTTTGCCGTTGGTTCACCCTCCAATGGCCGCCGCAGCCGGCGCGCTGTACCGCGCTGATCCGAAGCCAGGAGCCAGGTGCTTCTCCTGGTCTCCCATGGGGTGCAGGGCCCAAGCACTTGGGCCATCCTCCACTGCACTCCTGGGCCACAGCAGAGAGCTGGCCTGGAAGAGGGGCAACCGGGACAGAATCTGGCGCCCCGACCGGGACTAGAACCCGGTGTGCCGGCGCCGCAAGGCGGAGGATTAGCCTGGTGAGCCGCGGCGCCGGCTGGGTCTGGGCTATTTTTAAAAGTTTCCTGCCAAAGTTTCCAAGCATCTTAAAGACACCCTTTTCCTGGGCCTCAACTCTGTGCTTTGAGGATGCAGAGTCACTGGGAAGAGGAAAGAATGCAGAGTTCTGTGGCTCCGCCATTCGCAGCTGTGTTTACCCGGCAGACACCTCTGGCCCCGGTTTCTACATCTGAACAATGGGGATAGTAATAACACCGATTTCCTTCAACAACTGTGATGTTAACTGGATGTTACAATTAAAGCACTTACAATGAGACTTGGGGCATGTAATTTATTCTTGATAGATACTAAATGCCATTATTATTGTTATTTGTTTATCCTTAACAGAGACACCACAGACATACTCCCATTGCCATGTTGTGCCTCCCTCTCAGGGAAGTTCTTCCAGATGTCTAACCTCCAACCATCCTGCTGTGTTTGAGGGCTACACACTGCTGCTGGAGGAGCATCCTGAGAGCCAAGGCAGCTGTGGGCTCCTGTCCCGGGAGCTCTCACAGAGGGCCAGGCAGAGGCAGGAAATGGAGCCTGCAGGAGTGAGCAGGTGCTCTGGGAAAGGAGCGTGCAGACTGCACGTGCTCCACCCAGGTCCTGCTCGCTGGGGGAGGGGAGGGCCTCTGGTGATCTGTTTCTGCCCTTCCAGTCCCCAGTGGAGGCGGGGGGAGGGGGGGACCAGAGAGGCCCTCTCTTCCCGTGATGTGCCTGCCGCTGTGTCCTGGGTTCCATGACGTAGCAGGAAGTGCTGGCAGCACCTGGCTCCCTCAGGGCTGCCACAGTGCTGGGGACCCCTCGGGCCTGTTTCCGAGCTGGCACCGTCATCGTCATCGGGGCCAGGTGTCCCGGGTCGGCCGCTGAGGAGGGAGGGAGGGAGGGAGGGAGGGATGTTCCGTCCCTGGGGAGCAGACGCTGGCCCCTGAGGCCACCTGGCTCCGTTGCTAGGCCACGGCTGGGAGGCAGGGCTCCTGGGTTCCCCTCCGGCCTCTGCCTCGCACGGCTGCTGCCGCCACCGTCTCCACTCAGCTCCTGTCCCTCTGCCCCCGCCCCCTGGGCTACGGCTGCATTATTAATAAAAATGCTGAGGAAGCTGTTTGTGCAGCTCACGTGACAGAACAAACGCACCTCTCTCCTTGCCACCGTGCAAGTGGAGAGCCTGGGGCTGCGCGGTCGCCGGACGCAGGAGGGACAGGCCGAGGGCAGCGGCACGCGCTGACGGGGCAGGAGCAAGGACCGGCTGCCGAGGTCCCCAGCTCTTCTCCCTTCTCCTCCGCGGCGGGCGGGCGGGCGGGCGGGCGGGAGTCTGGCGAAGGCAAAGGCCCCACTTGAACAGAAGCCGTCTCCCCAGGAGGGACCAGGACAGCGAACTCGCAGAAGGCAGCTCCTGCCCCCTCAGGCTCAGCTCATCCCAGTGGAGACCCAGTCAATACTGACTGATGAACTAACGCCTCTCTCTGGACCCAGCTGCCGCCGAATCCAGAGGCCGGCCCAGGGTCCACGCCTGGCACACTGCCGGGTTCTTCAAAGCAGGTCTGGGACAAAAGAGGCCGAATCTGAAGCCTCCCCCTCACTCTGGTGCTGCCTCTGCCCGGTTCTCCAGCTGTTTGGCTTTGGCTGCATGTATCTCTGACCCTCAGTCTTCTCATCCATAAAATAGGGCTAATAATTGCCCCCATACAACCCTGTGAGAATATACTCACACGATGGTGTCTTCCCCAGGCACCAAGGACCCTGCCTCAGGCTGCCTCCCCCCAGGTGGTAGGGCAGGCCAGATACTCCATCCCAGCCATCTGTCCTCTCACATCCTTGCTCCCTGGGACCCCCCCCCCCTCCAGAGCCTGACTCTGTCCAACTCTGCCCAACTCTGCTCTGAGACGCTTCCCACCCCTCCAGGACCCCTGAGATGGCTGAGGGCTACTAGGTTAGTGAGCCCCCCACGCCCACCCCATCAGGATCTGCTGGCTGAATGACTGGGGTAAGTCACTGGACCCTTCTGAGCCTCACTTTACCCAACTGCACCACAACGATGCTGTGCTCTGGGTTGGACGCAGTCTCAGACCCTTTTAGGCGCGCACTCCCTGGATCTGTCTCCCCCAGGGCAACGCATACACACGCACAGACAGACGCAACGGTTCACCCATCACTGGGGGCTGCCGATGGGGAGGGGCGCCCACAGGTTCCACATAAAAATCCCTGGCCTTCGTGTCTACAAAGTTGCTTCCAACTTGGACAGCCTGAGCCCAGTGCTCTGCCCTCCGCACCCTCCCCACAGCGGCTTTGGGGCCCTGTGACAGGTGGGCTGGTGGTCTGTCCCCACCACTCCCCTGTCCCCCAGCGTCTGGCACCACTGGAGCCAGCTGATCAGCAGCTCAGGCCAGCGTTTCAAGCCTTCTTGGAACCCACTGAACCGGCTTCACCTACCTTTCAAGGTATTTAAAGGTTCTTTGACCAAATGCTTTTTGATCCTCGGCTGATGGGAATCAAGCAGAGGCTCTTACCAAAACCCCCTCCCTCCGACATGATTAGTCTCTAAGAGCTCTTTTGATGGCACAGAGACCTTCTGTGGTTTGTTTAAAGCCCTGGCCCCGGCCTCCACCTCCCCCGGAGACCCACGCGGGTCTGCTCCAGCCTCCACCGCCTATCCCCAGCGGTGGCCTAGTTAATGGGGGCCTCCCAGGGCCAGGCGACTCACACGCGAGCTAGGACCCCAAATCCGAGCCCAGCTGGCAGAAGGTCAAGCCCCCTCCTCTCAGGGAGCCCCTGCCGGGTCAGGAGAGGATG